GGACGGCTGTGCACGGCGTCTCTCAAAGAGATTTCCGCTGCCCCGGCCTGCACCCACCTCTGTGTCTCAGTGGAGAGCAAGGAATTTGCCCCCATGCTAAATAAAACTAATGCCTTTCAAAGCAGTGGTGGTGGTTACTTAAGATGGTTTATCCACGTGAGCTGTTAACACCATCGCCTGCTGCAGAGGTACTGAGAGTTCAGGAGCAAACCTGTTCCTTCTGCTTGCACCTTTACATTTTAACCAAGCAGAATACAAGCGGTGCCTTTCAGACACTAAGGTTTCCTTTACGCAGGCCTCCAAGGAGCAGTTTTCTCTCTCATGTCCCACGTTTAGATTGGATATTAGGAGAAATTTCTTTACCAGTGGTCAAGCATTGGAACAGGCTGCCCAGAGAGGTGGTGGAGTCACCATCCCTGGAAGTGTTCAAAAAGCATGTAGACATGGCATGTTGGGACATGGTTTAGTAGGCATCATGGTGTTGGGTTGATGATTGGACTGATGATCATAGAGGTCCTTTCCAACCTTAGTGATTTCTAGTTTCACTTTCATTAAAAATAATCCAGCCACCAAGCCAGGAAACATGAAATTAATTATTACTCTACTCTTAATTGGTTTAGTGGTGGACTTCGTAGTATTAGGTTAATGATTGGACTTGATGATCTTAAAGGTCTTTGACAACCTGAATGATTCTATTATTCTATGTTGGTGGCTGCTCTGCGTCAGTTCGTGTGTGCAGGCTGCTTGGAGTGATGGGTCTCAAGAATCAGGTGAAAGACTTTGCCTTTCCAAGTGCATCCCGAAATAGCCTGGAAAGAGGTGGTATCCAGAGGAGACCATACTGAAGCGGGCAGGCTTGGAAACTTGAGAGCTCAACACACAAAGTTTGAGCTGTCTCTTCCATCTTCCTAAACAGTGAAATGCATTTCCCAGATTTTTTACTCTGGATGGGGATTTAAGCCCAAACTTTCCTCACTGCACCACTGATGCTGGAAATGAAAACAGAACCAAACCAGAAATCTCAGCAGACATCAAGCAAATGTTGTCCTCCTGCCATCCTCCCAGCTCCAACTGGTCTAACCTGCAGCTTATGGGGATTGTACCCCACAGGGTTGTAAATGGAGGCAGTTTTTCCCTACTACTTCCCTGGCCCGTGCTCAGCTCTTCCTCCGAGGAAGACTAGATATAACGTCACTCTGGGACCTGTCCACTGAGAACAAAACACTCCTGCTGTCTCTAGTCTTTACTTAGCTGATTGTTTTGCCTGTGATCTGCCCTGCTGCTGGGAGCAAAGCAGCATGAACTTAAAGAGATTGCTCCAGGCCCCAGCCCCTGGAGACACAGTTCCCAACTGAGGGATGGCTTGTTTTCCATGTGTCTTTTGGGTGAAATCCCTATGGCCTTGAAATTATAGAGCAAAGCAATTAGCTTAGCATAATTTATTACAAATGATAGCACAGGCTGCAATAACAACAAGGAGAGGATCAGGAGAAATGTCTCTGCCAGCTGAGAGGCCAGAGTCCAAAACAGGTGTGGTGAAGGACATGAATTTCTGAGCCAAAAAATCATCAGCAAGGTCCCCAGGAAAAACAAGTAAAAATAGTATGTCATGAATGCTGTATGTTTCCCTTTTGAAGACATAGTTTCTGTTTCTTTCCCTGCAATCCAGCAGCTAGGCATTTGGAAAAAAAGCATAGCTGAGATTTCCAGTGCCCCGATTCCAGAAGCAGAGAATTTAAGCAAATCAGTAAATACTTTGTCCGCGAAAGTGTTGCCAATACTGCCATTGCTTCCCTCCTCACTTATAAACCATTTCTCCAGTAAACTTTGACTAGAGTAATTTAATCAAATGCATACCTCATTTAAAGTTATTTGAACCAATCTAAACTGTAAGAGAAGCATCAAGTTTACAAAGAGGACTGGAGCACAGAGATCCTCGGGGTCTCTCTGGTTTTCTGTTGACAGATTGTGTGTCAGTGAGCAAATCCCTGCCTTTTTCTGCCTTGCTGTCAGTCTCAGTATAATTTCTATGCATTTTGGGACGGTGGTGACACAGAGAGATCCCTGGCATGCTATGGGATCTATGGAAGGAAGGAGAAACATGATTACAGGTTTATTTAGAGACATGCATGAGTACCAATTTCCTGTGTGGAAAGAAAAGACCATAACACAAAAAAGCAAGCGTCATATTTTGCACAAAGTTGGCCTGGGAGCAGAGTAGTGGCCTCGCCCGCGCCTGCAACATAGAAAACCTTCTGCACCAGCTGGTACTGACGGGAGGAGGGCTACAGGAGGACCCTAAGGGACCTCCCTGCAAAGGCAGCCCCTGTTCAGGGAGCTGGCAGTAGTTCCCTAGTGAAATAGAAATTCTGCATGTGGCTTCGGTTTCCTTGTTTTGTTCCCCAGGGCTGTATTTCTGCATTGGCAACTGCTGAGAGCCTGACAGGCTCTCTAGATATCTCACTTATTTCTGGACAAAAAGCTAGGGAAATAAGGATGGTTCCTAAATGTGCTTCCAACCTCAAAGCTGGTTAATGGTTCTGATATCAGGAGTGGGGCTGCAGCACAACACCGGGGATGTGGATGTAGCTGACTGCAGTCGCTCAGGATTGAATCTGACTGGCTGTTTTTTGTGTCCTGGGCACAGATTTGAGGGCATAGTCCTTTTCTCATTGGCTTTAGGAGAGAAGCCTTCCCCCATCCCAGCTGAGTTAAAAGGGAAAGCAAAGAGTTTTTTATTTCCTGGAGTGGATTGCACACACTGACCATGGCATCTGAAAAGGTGAGAGCTTGGACGGGGTGGAAGCGTGCGGGAAAGCTGTCTCGGTGCTAGAGCTCAGATAGAAATGAACTGTCTGCCCTCTTCGCCTTCATCTCAAACAGCAGAAGCTCTTCTTGTTTGGAAAGAGGCCTGGCCCTCCCCTGCGTGGCTGGAAAAGCTGTTTCATGCCCCGCAAATACCTAGCGCAGGTGCTTGGCACAATCAGTGGGGAATTTGTTTCAAAGATCTAAGATGGGATAGAAGTTAGCAACATCTGATAGGGACAAAGAGGGAAGCTTCGTAGAGGATAATTTTAAGGTCACTTGTGCATTGCTGGAAACATCAGGTACAACTAAATGTTCACAGGGCCAGCATGAAAGACATTGATACTACCTGCACACCCAAACCAGGAAGAGTCACTTTCGGAAAGGAGCGCTCTCTCCCCCAAACGTTGCTCTTCCCCTGTCTTACTGTTCCTGAAATGCCTTCTGTTCATGCATTGTTCTCCTTACAATACTCTGGTGTTCCCACCATATAACCACTTTTTCTTTCTTTCTCTCCTCAGCCGATACTTTATGGCTATTTCCGAAGTTCCTGCTCTTGGAGAGTGAGAATCGGTAAGATCCAGTGTTGATCTCTCTTTTACTGTCATGGTGTTATTGCAGTATCCTCCCCTTCACTAACTCGATTAATCAGTCACTTATTGCGAGAGAGAGAGATCAGCAAACATGAACTTGGAACAATGAGGCATCTCCCCAGTGGGAGGGACCGGCATACCACAGCTCACCTGGAGCAGGGGGAATGGAGAGGAACAGATGGGAGGGCTTCGCTCAGCCTGCAGCTAGTTAGAGGGAATTACTCCTTTTGTAAAGCTATCATGATGCAGATGGGTCTTTCTTCCACATGATCTATACTGCCTCAGATTCTGGTCTGCCCAGGTCTTGAGAGCTAAGCAGGGCTGGGAATGGTCCCTACTTGTACAGAGACAGTCTTAAGCAATGTTTTGCAGGTGAACACTGGGCCCCCTGCCCTCTATAAGCCAAATCAGGAGGGGCTGTGCTGCAAAGAGTGGCAAAGCTTATTTTGAAAAAATGCAGTGTTTTTGCCAGGACTGATCTTTAGTGCTTTGGTCCTTCATTTGCCAGAGTGCTATCTTCTCAGTGGACTTAGGCCACCTTTCTTGAGGGATGCGGTCTTTTTTGGTTTTTAAAGACATTCTTTTTTCAAATGGAGATGGTAACGTTTCCCTGAGTGCATTACCAATGAAACTGGTAAAGTGAATTTAAATATAGCTGCCAAGGCTCAGCGAAGGGCCGGGCACCCAGCCCACAGCGGGGTCACCGTGTGCGTGTCCCCTTGCAGACTAATACCGCAGCGGTAGGTGGGGAACGCTGCTCCACGTGCGCCGCGGGAGCAAACCTGTTTCCAAGAGAAGCCTTGTGGGAGAACGGTTTTAAATCCATCCAAAACACGAAATTGCTACTCTACCCTTAATTGGTTTAGCGGTGGACTTGGTAGTGTTAGGTTAATGGTTGGACTGGATGATCTTAAAGGTCTTTTCCAACCTAAACGATTCTATGGTCTCAGTGTGCCTGTCTGAAGCTGTACTCTCTGCTCTCCCTAGCACTGGCTCTGAAAGGGATTTCCTATGACCTGGTGCCAGTGAACCTCCTGAATGACGGGGGGCAGCAGGTAAGGATACAGCTACCATTGCTCTCTCCAGGGGTACTGAACTTGGGTATCATTAGGAAAATTGGGATTAGCACTAGAAAGTTCACAGGCAAAGTCACTGAATTCCTCACCGCTTCTCTGTACTTAATAGCTGCTTTCAGCCAGTATTCCCTGGCATGCAAGACAGGGAGAAGATGACTACAGGACACTAAAGGTTTTTTCCTCTCTTAAAACACGTGTGACTGAATTTCATAAGGCTGAAGATCTTTTGCTCCTGCTTAGCACGATATAACTGAACATATCTGGTGCACAGACTTCAGAGAAGCTGTACTGCAATTTAAACACAGACTTGACCTCATTCAGTTAGCACCAGAACGTACGTGTGTGGCAGGGGGTGTGTGTCCAAAAGATGCTAAATGTTACAGCAAGGGAGTGCAAAGGGCCTGCCAAAGGAAGGGGTGGGTTGCCAGATGAGATCTTTGCTGAGAACTTATTTGGGGGACCATAGGCAGGAGTTGTGCACCTAGTAGTACCACCAGCTTGATGTGCCAGTATGGGCTAAGATGGTGTTGGAGAACTAGAACACTAACAGTGACACTGATGCAGTACCACTCATCCTGGGCTTTGTATTGACAGTTTATCAAGAGGTAAGGCAGTCCGGCCCTGGAAACAGTGATTCCTGAGCCCCAGTGAGAGCTTGCTGTAGGCTAATAGTACAGCGTAACTTACTGCAAATATTCATACTGAGGTAGAAGGAAAAGCCAGGTTAAAAAAAAGAAAATTGCTAACTGGGTTCTAGGGGAAGAAAACAAGGAAGAATAATTTCTTGTTGCAGTAATCTCAGGTTTGTTTCCACAGTTTTCTCCTGAATTCAAGGAAGTGAATCCAATGCGGCAAGTCCCAGCCTTGAAAATTGATGGCATCACCCTTTCTCAGTCGGTGAGTTACCAGCCACATCCCTGTTAACCATTCACTCCAGTCTGCTGCCCAGTCTGGAGGGGATGGCTTTGCCCCATCTTTTCCCCCAGAGGTCTCATCTGTGCATTGGAAAAGAGATGGCATTTGCAATAAACAGTCACACTTGGGGGCAGAAGTAGCATGTAGCCTCTGCTGGGAAACTGCTGTCAAGGATTTAAGCTCGATTTAAGCTCAGTTCAGCTTTGGTTTGTAACTCCACCTTTCACTGAGCAGTTTGTAGTCTGACTGGAGTGTGCCAGGGCTTGCCTGAAATTACAGCTGGGCTAAAGGGCAAGGTCCCAAGGAGACATCAAAGGGGATATTCTGTTGCTCGCATTGGTAACAAACTTCATTCAAAAGCTGTTGTATTCTCTTGGATCAGCTCCCCTTTCCCAGGTGTCCAGGATGTGAACTTTTCCTTGGCTCTCCAATAACCTCCCCTTATCTCTTTGTTCATTACAGCTAGCTATAATTCATTACCTAGAAGACACCCGTCCTAACCCCAGGCTCCTGCCCCAAGATCCGAAGAAGAGAGCCCAAGTCAGAATGATCGCTGATCATATTGCCTCCGGCATTCAGCCACTCCAGGTATTCCCTTGTCATATCCATGCAAATGAGAAAACTAGGATGGGTTTCCAGGAGTCTCTTTAAATTGTTGCCAGCCAATAGAGTGGCAGACCTTAAGACTGTGTGTTAGCGGATGCAATCTCTCCTTAGCCTCAGCCTGATCTGCCAACGGCAACAATACAGTATTTCCTACAAAGAAAATCCTGTAGCATCCCAGGGTTCTTTCCAGAAACAGCTGAAGCCATATGGTTTCACTGCTGGGTCTAGGATGTTTTAGGAAGAAGACAATTGAGCAACCCAAAGGGCAGAGGCAAAGGGATACCCTGGCAGCTGTTACAGAAGGATAGTCCCAGGACAGAGATACATCAGGGTGCATGATTTGGTGAGGGTGAGGTCTGGGCTAAGCCAGCAGGCTGAAGTCAGGTTGGGGGTTCACGCTTGGCAGCTCCTCATCTCCCCTCTCCTGCACTGGATGAGGCAGTGGGCAAGATCCAGCCAACACCAGTCAACCTAACCCGGAGATTGCTTGCCTTCACAGAACCTGCGTGTCCTGAAAGAAATGGGGGAGAAAAAAAAGGAATGGGCTCAGAACTGCATCTCATCTGGCTTTCAAGGTGCGTCCCACATCCAAAATGATCAGCACTTCAACTGACCCTTCAAAATGCTGCAGTGCTGGGGTCCTACTTTCCTCTTCAAGCAGAACAACAGATCTCCCTAGGCTGGTGCGCTGGGGTCCTGCCCTGCTGGCAGAGACAGTGCTCTTCCTGCACAGTCCCTTGTCTGGGACCAGTGCAGCTCTCCAGGGTCTCAGAGGAAAGATGCTGTCCACAGGGCACTTCCACTGCTGCGCACGGAAGAGGGGAAGCCTAGGGCCATCCTGTACACCGCAGCAGTTAACTCACCCTGAAGCATGAGGGCTGACAGCACTTCTTCTTTCCACCCAGCTGCTCCTAAACTAGTGCCTTTTGCTTTAAAGTTCTATCAATCTATATTTTTATGCTTTTGTAATCAGACAAAAGATATCTGATGGCAAATTCCCACAGAATCTAGCAAGTAGCAGAGCATTTCTTTACCTCCCTGGGAGAAACAGGCTGCTTTTTGTTTCCTCAACACCCTTTCCCCCATGTGCTGGCCCATCTTCACTTCTGGACAGACACAAACTGACTGAACCTTTGCATGTTCCCCCTCCCCACTCACATATCTCTACATTATCCTCTTAGTATTTCAGGAGCACTGCCTGAAGCAGCTGAAATCACCCTGGGTCCCAAAAAGCTGAAGGACCCTAAAGACTCCCATAACTATGCTGTTGTAAGATTTCTGTTCCTTCTAGGTTCTGTCCCAAATTGCTCCTTTTTCATACTAGCTCAAGGTCAGAATGCTCTCGTTCGTAATTCCCAGTCTAAAATGTCTTTGATGTCCCTTTCAAATGAGTTTCCAATGCCTCACTGCAGTGTACCACCTCTCTTGACAGCGCTGGAGCAGATTCTGCAGCACACTGCTGGGCGCTACTGCGTGGGGGATGAAGTAAGTATCTGAGAGAGTGTTGTGTACTACTGGAGAACTGAAAACTCCAGTATATTCTATAAAATAGGAAAGAAAATCAGTTGTGGAGACACAGTACAACCCCATCCTGTGCCTGGAGTTACATGTGGTGCCTTCACCATAAGAAAAACAGCTGCATGGATCATATTTAAGCCATTACTGAATTGCAGATAGTTACGGAGATCTTTACTTGTCCCTGCCTATAACCTGCTGATGGCCAGACTCTGCAGCTCTATCTAGGATCTGGCTGCTACTAGAGGATGTGGAAACAGATTATATATATTTCATCTTTAAGAGATTTGGAGTTCAAAGTGTCCTGTCACAGGGGCAAAGCTTGGCTCAAGAAATGCAGGTTCAGTTCTTAGTTCTGCTCTGTGGAACCTTTAACCAAGTTGTATTGTATTTTTCTGCCCTGTTTGTCCAATTTTAACATGGACAGATTCAGAGAGCTCACATACAAGCTGGTCTGGCTCTTACCAATCTAGAGGCCACTCAGGCTTCTTCCATTTAGCAGTCCTGTTTGGCAGGCATTGAATCTTTCCCATAAAAGCCTGAGTATCTGGAAAAAGGAAGGCTCCTGCAATATCCTGTCATGCAGAGGATTATCTAGTAGGAGCCTTATGGAACTGGAGCCCTTGGTGGGCAAAGGCTAGTTATGAGATCTTATGCTGGAGAATAATGTGTGCTTTCAAAGGCACCCAGGACTTTGTGGCCTGGGGAGTGGGGTGGAGGCAGCTGCCTCTGTGCAGATAGGCAGCTAGCTGTACTGTCCTTGAGTCGTCTTTTCAGACTGTGAGTCCCTGAGCCTGTGTGCAAAGGCCCTACCATATATCAGGTCTTGACATTGGCAGGAGCTGCTTGATACTCCTGCAATGCAAACAAGCAAAATTTACTCATTTTTTCCCAGCCATGCAAACTGCCCCCTCCCTCCATCACCTCCCTCTGCACTTTGCCAGCAGACTTGTTTGCTCAGAGGCAGCTGCATGGAAGCACTGTGTCCTTGAGGTCGTCATGATCAGCTGGTAAATGTGAAGCTCCCTAAAGGCTGATGGCTTCTACTAGTGACTGCTATGAAGTTTCTTTCCTTATACCATTGTCATATTACTAATGCTGGATTAAAGAATGAGATTGTCGTGACAACTCCTCTGTACTGGCCAATAAAATAATTTCTGTCCTGCTCTCAAAGCCTGCCACCACAGTGAAGCGGATGGGACAGGCTCTGAGTTATTCTGACCCGTTTTTTCTGCTACATTTGCAGGTTTCCATGGCTGATCTGTGCTTGGTGCCTCAAGTTGCCAATGCTGAAAGGTAATTAAGGCTAAGCTTGAGGCGCTCTTCAAGAGCACCCACTCCTTGTTTTGGGCTGTCAGAGCTTACCTTCTGCTGCTCCTTGTGCCTGTTAAGCAAGCATCCCTCCTGCCTGCCCTATCCATTTATGGATTCTTCTCTGCATGAATTTTCCTATGTCATAAATACTGTCTCTTTTGGAAGCTCTTGGAAATAAGGAGCTGTGCTCTCTTCTCACAGGCCCCTGGAGGAAATCTGATCTATGTCCTTAGAAAAGCTAAGGTTGCCCACACTCCACGTCCTCTCTCCCTGTTTGCCCTATATTTACACTGCACACAGGAGGAAAAGATTAATCTGACTACATTTGTTGAAAGCCTTAAATCTGTGCAAGTAGCATCTGCATGATTCCCAGGAAAGGCATAGTGCCTTCTTACCCTGTGCTGCACGCTATGTAAAAGCCTAGTGAAGATGGAAGAACTAACTAACCTTTCCTCTAGCATTTCTTTTTAAACCTACAAGGATGAACCTTTTCTCTTAATGCAAATGTACCCCAGCCTCCCAGCCTGTGAGATTCTCCCATACTGGGCAGGCACAGCACACTGCTCTGCCGCTCTGCCCTTCTGCACTGGCTCTCCGACTCATAGTACCTCACAAATTCTTTTCCTTCTGCAGATTCGAAGTGGACATGGGTCCATATCCCACAATAAGCAGAATCAACAAAGCTCTCCTGGAGTTAGAGGCATTCAAAGTAAGCCACCCATCCCGGCAGCCAGATACTCCTGCAGAGCTGCGAGCTTGAAGCCCTTCTACTCATTAAATTAAGTAAGCTGGCATGTCAAAAAGGACAACAGCTACAGCTTGAGTAGGACTTCAGTGCCAGCAGGAAGCCCTAGTACCATTGTCTCACTTTCATCTGGGTGGGAAGAAGGACAGAGGACCTGGAAGTAGCCTAGATGACTTAACAGGAGCTACGCCTGTGCTGAAAAGCTTGCTGCTACTTCTGATTATGTTTTTTCTATCTGATATATCTCCATGAAGCAGATTAAAGCGGAAGCATCCATAATTATCAGAAGTCCCCTTTGTATGGCTTTGGGTTGGGGAACGTGGTCACAAGCAACTGTGGGGCATTGAGACAATTCTGGACTCCCTACAGGGGCTTCTTTCTACCATCCACAGAAAGTACGTCAGGGAACCAGTGTACGCAGCGTGCTACTAACCTAGCAGGCCTGCTTGTCCTTGCACCTGCCTTAGAGCTATGGCATAATCATCAGTGCCATGGATATAAACAGTAAGAGCTAGTCTCTGACAGAAGACAGCTTAATTCCAACCCTTCTTGGGTCCTGCAGGTCTTGCAAGAGCCAACAGTCAGCAACTCTACCACCCCTTGCAGAGACAAGAGAATTACTACCTGAGACAGCTGATTTGTACCTCTTGCTTATGTCTAGCAGCAGTCTTGTGGAATTTATAATAAAGGTCTGTCTAGAGCAAAGCTAGGTGGTTGTGCCATAGTCAACAAGACACAACCAGCTCACTCCCATACACTGAAAGTTACAGTGTTCTCTTCCTCTTCCCATCTCAGACACTGTTCTAGGTATTTTCCTAGTCCTTGGCTGCAGACTATTGCCCAGTGGAATCCCACCCCAGATTCCCTCCAAACTAGAATGTCTGTACTTTCACTGTGAGAACCTTCCGAGTGGCAGGTGTAAATCCCATTTCACTCATCCCAAATGAAACCCAACGCCTGAGTCACCTTCAGAGCTGAAAGCACCCTGGGAATTCCAGCCCCGAAACCTGTAGGGCAAGAAGGGAAACCCAGAAACCTGTGACTGTGTTCCTATGCAGGCTCAGCTCAGAATCAGAGAGTCACAGAATCAGTTAGTTTTGGCACCCAAGCCCAGGTACCAAGCCAGGGATATGGGAGGGAATTTCTGTCAGTCTGATGCTGTATATCAGCTACCCTAAGAGGGCAACACCCACGGCCTTCAGAAAGACTTTACAAAGCCGTGATCTCTTGTGCCAAGGTAGCATTCACCTACATATAGATATTTGGACTGCCACATTGCTTGGACTCATTTATTGCCATCCATGTCTGTATCCAGGCTAGTGAAGAGCCCTTGCTGTTCCAGGCTCATTCTGAGTATTGCGCATTATCTGAGGTCCAGCTGGATCTTGACTGTGCTGTTGTAAAAGGTCCCGGCACAGTTGGAGCCCCCAAAGACGAACACCGTGTGCAGGTTATGCTCCTCTTTGTTCTCCTTGTCCACATTTAGCAGGTGGGCAGGAGTCACGTCAAGCAATGTGTGGCCAGCTCGGGGCACAGAGCAGAGGTCGTGGTGGATCACTGTGCTCCATGAAAGAGTATCTGAAGTAGAAAGGGGCCATCAATACTGACAAGCCCATTCCTAGTGCAAGGGATGAAACAAATGGACCAGACTAGGTGTTCAGAAACACCACTGCACCCCAATAGTCACCTTCAGCTATGGAAACAGGGAGGGAGAGTCACTCACCTAGGTGGAAGACAAAGGCATCCTGCAGGGCTCCCTTGGCATTGCAGCCTCCACTGATCAGAACCTTGTGGTCCGACACAGCCAGAGCTGCATGAAAACTATAACCAAAGCAAAGCTGAAAGCTGACTAGAGCAAAACCCGCTGGGGTTGCCTCAGTTAGCAATGGGCAGGGGTGGGCTGAAACTGGGGGTTTAAGCTGCAGAATGGAAGTTAACTTCTACTTCTCTTCTGCCCTGACTTGCTGAATAACCCCGAAAGACCTGTTTGTTTGCTTCTGCAGGTGAGGCCATAATGAGTTGCTTTTCAGGCCTGATTATCTCCAAAGGAGCTATCAAAATTCCTATGTTTTGTTCTATGGAGTGAGACAGCAGGCTAGCTGGGCTTTGGTCTGATTTAGGTTGTTGTTCCAGTGGGCAACAGTGTCCCTTTGGGAACAGTATAGTCCTGATACAAGAGTTTCTTCCTTTCTGTGTGTCTGTTGTACTCCAAGTACTGTGGAGACCAAAGAGCAGGCAATACAGTTCACTAGCACAGGGCAGAAAACTTCCCCTAACCTGAAAGGCAGATTTCCAGGGAGACTAAGGTATCTGTAACCCCACACGCCCTACAGGCACCAACTAGAACAGCACAGGAATTTCTGGTCCCACGGTAGAGGGGCCATCCACTGTATTTTGACTAGTGGGACAGAGATATGCAACCGGGTCTGATCACAAGCACCGTTTAAACCCAGCTTCAAAGAGAAAGGACAGAGGAAGAAGATAGCTCCTGGGTCTGCAATAGGATCTTACCAACGTGCAGAAGGCTGTCCTGCAAGGAGGGGAACTGGTGTGTACTCCATGAAACCTGACAACCAGGGGAAAGGCAGGTGAAGTGTCCAAAAAGCTCAGCCTCATAACTAGACAAAGACTTCCATACTCTGCCACATCAGCAACCTGCCTTCTCTATTACCCCGCTTCCTCCAAAAAAGCAGTCTCTTGTTTTTCCCCATTCCCTCCCCTCTTACCCCAGAAAGGACTTTTTTGCCCCATAGTTTTCCATCTCCATTGCCTAGTCAGGAGTTTTTATAATGTTAATGCTACCTTCCCATCAAGCATGCCTCATTCCCCAGTCCCTGCCTTAGGATGGACCTTTCCAAGGCAGCCATCTGGCACAGACGCTTACCCAGATCCAGGATGTGCATGTCACTGAGGTAGAGAGAAGTCCTCCGACCCGCAAAAATCAGCAGCTTGTTCTTCAGTAGAGTAGCTGAATGCCTGGGCAGAGAAGAAACAAGTGAACAAAGCTTCTTCAGCAAGTTCCCAAAACTGACGGTTCAGCTTTGGCTTCTGTTGTTGGGCTGCCATAGCTTCAGTCTGCACCTGCCTCTGCCCCCAGCCACTGCAGCCCAAGGACAGAATCCCATCGGGATTCATGACAGGAGGTACTGGGAGTCACATTGCTCAAAACATAGCCCTATTTTAAGGAGCAAATGGTGGAGAACAATCACCTAATATTTGGGAAGTTACACTGGGGTGGGAGGGAAGGTGAGCAGAGGCTTCCAGCTCTATTTTGGAGGGCTGGAATAAGAGCACTCTCACCCAAGCCTAGGCAGAGGCTTCTCCCCTTCTGAGATAGGCTGATACCAAATTTCATGCTCTGGATTGAAGACATAGAGCACATTGCTGCAGGGTCCAACTGACAGTGATGCCTTTTTGGGGAAAGTCCCTCCAAAAACAAAGAGCTCCTTGCGGTAGATAGTTGCACTGTGGTAGGCGAGCACTGGCATCCTCCCTTTAGCCTGGAAAAAGATCAACATAATGCACTTCTTGTAACAAGCGTATTTGCTGCATGAGCTGTAGCAAAGGGGCTCACATCACATAGTGAGTTTGACAAGCCTCAATTTTCACTTTATTGGCTCCCCAGCCAGATCTTTGTCACACAGGCAGACTGTACCTCCTTTGCGTACTCTGCACCACCAGAATGCTCTGATGAGAGAAGGAGCCAACCTTCTACCCCACCTTCCTCAGAAGGTGACAGAAAACAGAAAGATCTCATCTAGGCTTATTCTGTAAAAGCCATCTTGTGCCTTAGCCAGAAAAGAGACAGATAGTCCCTCACTGACAGGGCCCTCTGCAAGGACATGATGGGCAACTAAAGAGCTCAGAGATCTGCTGTGCTCAGAGCAGTCCCTGATTTGAGAAGACCAGCTCTTCACCTCAGCATCCAGTGCAGCTCTCAACAGCACCATATAAAATGAGAGGCCACTTCCCTCTGCCACTTATACAGTACCTCCCACCCACGACCTTGGTCAGACACAGCACTCTGCAGCAAACCATTTTTTCATCTTGCTTCATTCATTGTAGGCACAGCCCCTGGTTTCTGCCAAGCGTGGCCTTTCAACACAGCCTTCTTATACCTGGCAATCCCAACTACGCAGCTCAGACAACCTGCAGCAACAGTGGACCAACTACTGCAATAAGGATATGGGCACGTTCAGGCAGGACCTGCCACACCTCCTGTGCTTTTGTCTTGGAAGAGCTGCAGTACTTACAGCGATGAGGAGCCATTTCCAGGTGACTGTGTCCAGAATGTAGATGTTGCTGTAGTCTTTGTCCTCCCTTATGCCCCCAAAGAGGTAGATACGCTTGGTGTCTGGGTCGTAGGTAGCTGTGTGACCATGCAAGCACAATGGCATGGCGTTTTGTAGCTGGAAATCCACTGGAAGCCAGAAACCACTGTCTGTGGGAGCAACACCAGACAGGTGGTGTGGGAGTTCAAAAATGCTCTTGATTTCTCCAGATATAAAGAATATGTCATAAAATCTTTACTCAAGACCTTGCCCCCTTCCCCTCTTCCTGTCCTTTGACTCAGGGCTAGAGGGGACTCACGCAGAAATGTTTGTGTGTAAGGAATGAAGGGGAACACTAACTAGGTGGGGAATAGTAAGGTGGAAGAGAGGATTGGTGAGGTGCAGAAAGCTGCAAGGCAATGGAATCGTATCTCACACTTCTCCACCAGTCATCACACACAGACTGCAAACCGTGCCATTGCTTTGACCCCTTCAAATTAATTCAGTTCTTTCCAGAACTTATACCTGAGCTCCTGGAGGGCTCTCACATACCACCCCACAGTCTCTCATGGCACCCTACACTATCAGCTCAGCCTGGTGACCATGCCAGGAGATGTGACACCTTTGCTGTCCCCTCCCTATGCAGAGACCCCTGAGTACCCCCTCCCATCTGCATGAGTTGTCCTCGAGTCCCACTGCCCCCATTGCCTTGGATAGCCCTAAAGTCCCCACCAATTTCCAGCTTCCAGAGTGCATCCTTGCAGGGCTGCTGATTGACACCTTCTCCACCGATCAGAACAGCTGTCCCCAGGTCACTGAGGCACATGGCATGGCACCACCGTGGGCTGGGACTGCCTGGGGAGGGGAGAACACAGGGCTGTGAGTGGAGTCAGACGAGATGCCCCCAGCTCCCTTCCCTGCTGGGGAGAACAATGCAGCTGAAGGCTCAGAGGGGAGAAATGGGAAGGCAAGGGCCCCAGGTCCCTTCCTTATGGGGTGGAAAGAGACATAGTTCCCTGAGGAAGATTTTCCGTTGGCTTCAGGGAATAACTGCTGTGTTAGGAGAGACATCACTAGCACAGGGAGCCAGCAAAGAGTCTGGCTGGATGTAGGACACATACCAGCTGCCACTTTCAGACAGGCTCGGATGCCCCCCATTGATTACCCATCCCCAGCAGAGATATCCCAGTTGTGCTATCCCCTTGTGTTACTCCTTATGAGGGAGGGCTACCCAGGGACAGCTTGTTAGTGCCCAAGATACAGCAACCAGAAGCCTGGAGCTGCTTCCAGAGATATTCCTCGTACTGCTCTGTTCCTCCTCCTTTCCTCTCCCAGGCCCCTGCAGTTGGCTGAGCAAGCTAAAAAATACTTTTTAATCAAAGTTTATTCCACATCTTACCCTTTGCCTCAAAGGGCTATGCACC